AAGAGGTTGTGAAGGCTAGGACTAGAACAGCGTTTAAAAGAGAACTAGATAAATTCATTGAGGTTAAGTCCATTAATGGCTATTAGCCAGGATGGGTAAGTAATGGTGTCCCTAGCTTCTGTTTGTCAGAGGGTGGAGATGGATGGCAGGAGAGAGATCACTTGATCATTACCTGTTAGGTTCACTCCCTCTGGGACACCTGGCATTGGTCACTGTCAGTAGACAGAATACTGGGCTGGATGGACCTTTGGTCTGACACAGTATGGCCATCCTTATGCTTTGTCCCACCTGAATTCTAATCCTGGTTCTGACACTCCTGTACTGAATAGGGAATATGTATGATTTATGAATTCTGTATGAGATTATGAACCCTGTGTGCCTATGTCAGGCTGCACACTCCATTCTAAATATGCAGCCTTTTGCCTTCTCTATGCCGTTTGCCTCCGCGTTGGGTTGAAAATTCCGAAGGCTGGTAGCAAAAGGACAACAATAGAGGATACCCAATCATTGGAAATCTATTCACATTAGAAAAAAAAAATGATCCCCTGCCCAGGAAAACTAGTTTAGCAGGGGGCAAGTCACTTTGGCATCAAAGTCATCAGACAGGAGTTTGGGCTCATGTGGGGAACTGGCAAAGGTGTCATCTGACACAGGGCACTGAAGGTTTTTAAAAGGGTAGAGGCTAGACTGCTTAGCGGCCAGCCATGTTCTCCAGTTCAGGCAGGAGCAACCACTCACCCATGTAACAGCCGGCAGGAGGCAGGGGACACCCTCCCTGCCTGCCTTCCTAGAACCACAGCTCCCAAGGGAAGGATGAAATAGAAAGTGAGGGATATTGCAGTTTCAGATGTTTATTATTTTGTGTGATCTATACTTGCCCGTGCTTTACATGATTAAGGGGGGAGGCTCCAGGAGATACAGCACAGCAGAGGTTTGGATTCCCCTCCCAGCAGCCCTAGCAGGTGGCCAGGAAGGGGCACTCACTAGAATCTGAGACAACCAGTCTTCGATTGATCATTTTGTTTCTGTGCCTCCGCTTCCCCCTCTGTATAATAAGGATAACGACATCAACCTACCTCACGGGGGTGTTGTGAGAAGTAGTGCTTTGAGAATAAAGTGCTATAACTGCTACACTGCTAAACACTATTGCTGTGAGGTTGCAGCAGCATCAAACATGGGCCAGCAAGATAGAGGCTGCAAACATATCCTCTCCTCTGCCCTTTTCTCCCTGGGCCACAGGAGGCAAGACATTTCATTTGGGGGTGGAGTGGGGTGTGTGTGAAAGGACAAAGAAAAAGGAGCTTGGGAAGAGATGTGTGAACCACTCCACATCCAGAAGACAAATAAGAATCCTAATATTAATATTCTTTAGTAAATTTCATTATTTTTATGCCCATCTCATGATTTTTTGATACTTAACTCACGATTTTTACACATGTAGGGCTGGCAATACTGTAATTACTTTCCACCTCCCATCCTTAAGAGTTGATTCCTCTGATAGTCATGAGATCCTGTTCAGCAAATTATTAAGGTCTGTCTACACTGACTGAAATACACACACACACACTCTTGCTTCCATGACCAAATACAATCTAAGTGACGGACAAGATCATGAGACAAAAATAATTTAATATTATTTCCCTCCTAGATGTTGCACAATAGTGCTAAGCTTTTTAATCACATGACCCTATCTCATTTAGTCCAATTGTGCGTCATGCCCTTGATGAGTTATTATAGTGTACTGTGTATGCACACATTCAGTGTTTATTATCAAGGAAATGGCCGTTTTTTAATAAAGAGAGATCTAATAGAGCATTACATAACCATTTAAATTCAATTACACAGTTACATGGACTGAGTTGCCCAGATGCAAACAAAGCTAAAACTTAAACCTTGCTACGTGTAATTGGAATTACACTGTGTAATGAAATTGATGTCAGAGAACCAGCGCCTAGTGGGATTAGCAAATTTCAGATTTTATACATTTTCAATAAATGCATTCATAGGAGCAAACAGACTCTCCTGGTCCCAAAAGAGCAGAAACCCTGCCCATCACTAAACCTCTCCAAGACTCATCCTGCACTATGCACAAGTGCATAAAAGATAAGATTGTCTTTGCAGCATGTTTGGAGGTTAACAGGCTCAAGCAGAAGATTTGAGGGTCCCTCTCAATTAAATCAAGGCTGTTTCAGTTCAAGAGTCTCCCCTGATTCCCACTTTGGCAATATCACACAGAGAGGGGCAATTTCTCCCAAAGGTGACACCCAACATCTTGAATTCCACCCAAAAGTCTACAGGCATCCAGTGGTAAGTGTCTGAAAAGATCCCATACAACACCCACCATCACCATTGAATCTGTAAAGTTAGCCCTGCATATTCCCATCAGTGAAAGGCACAGAAAAAAAAAATACCATTACATGAGCCAGATGGAACCTTACCTTCAGTAAAGTGTTCGAGATTTTGTCTATGCACAAGGTTGTTAAAGGAATCAGCTACAGTCGATTTCTTCCTAAACCTAATGGGAAAGAAAAAACAAGTCTGGTCATTCTGAACAAGAAGGGGAATCATTGAAAAACTATACCATTTAGCTGGCTTTCCATACTGCCACAAACACACCTCCACTCCAGCTTGCATCCACCAACTGTCATCTCACCTTTTATGTTTAAATTACGCCAGAAATGCGGAGCCATGAAACAGAACCAGTAGAAAATGCTGCTAATGATCAGTCTCCCAGAGCATTCGGAGCTCGCTGTGCTGCTAGTCTTCTTATTACTTACTTTGCCTCAGTCTTTAATGAGGCTGAGGCGCTTAGGCATAATGGCAGGATGACAAATGGGAATGAGGATATGGAGGTAGATACACCTCTACCCCGATATAACGCTGTCCTCGGGAGCCAAAAAAAATCTTACTGCGTTATAGGTGAAACCGCATTATATTGAACTTGCTTTGATCCGCCGGAGTGCGCAGCCCCGCCCCCTCCAGAGCGCTGCTTTACCACGTTATATCCGAATTCATGTTATATCGGGTCGCGTTATATCGGGGTAGAGGTGTATTACCACATCGGAGGTAGAAGCCAAACTCGAACAGCTTAATGGGACTAAATCGGGGGGCCCAGATAATCTTCATCCAAGAATATTAAAGGAACTGGCACATGAAATTGCAAGCCCATTAGCAAGAATTTTTAATGAATCTGTAAACTCAGGGGTTGTACCGTATGACTGGAGAATAGTTCCTATTTTTAAGAAAGGACAAAAACGTGATCCGGGTAACTACAGGCCTGTTAGTTTGATATCTGTAGTATGCAAGGTCTTGGAAAAAAAGGAGAAAGTAGTTAAGGACATTGAGGTCAATGGTAATTGGGACAAAATACAACATGGTTTCACAAAAGGTAGATCATGCCAAACCAACCTGATCACCTTCTTTGAGAAGGTAACAAATTTTTTAGATTAGTAGATTTAATTTACTTTGATTTCAGTAAGGCATTTGATACGGTTCCACATGGGGAATTATTAGTTAAATTGGAAAAGATGGGAAACAATATGAAAATTGAAAGGTGGATAAGGAACGGATTAAAGGGGAGACTACAATGTGTCATACTGAAAGGTGAACTGTCAGGCTGGAGGGAGGTTACTAGTGGAGTTCCTCAGGGATCGGTTTTGGGACCAATCTTATTTAATCTTTTTATTCCTGAACTTGGCACAAAAAGTGGGAGTGTGCTAATAAAGTCTGTGACTGACACAAAGCTGGGAGGTATTGCCAATACAGAGAAGGACCGGGATATCATACAGGAAGATCTGGGTGACCTTGTAAACTGGAGTAATAGTAATAGGATGAAATGTAATACTGAAAAGTGTAAGATCATGCATTTAGGGATTAATAACCAGAATTTTTGTTATCAGTTGGAAGTAACAGAGGAGGAGAAGGACCTCGGAGTATTGGTTGATCACAGGATGACTATGAGTCGCCAATGTGATATGGCCGTGAAAAAAGCTAATGCGGTCTTGGGATGCATCAGGTGAGGTATTTCCAGTAGAGATAAGTAGGTGTTAGTACCGTTATACAAGGCACTGGTGAGACCTCATCTGGAATACTGTGTGCACTTCTGGTATCCCATGTTTAAGAAGGATGAATTCAAACTGGAACAGATACAGAGAAGGCCTACTAGGATGATCCGAGAAATGGAAAACCTGTCTTATGAAAGGAGACTCAAAGAGCTCAGCTTGTTTAGCCTAACCAAAAGAAGGCTGAGGGGAGATATGATTGCTCTCTATAAATATATCAGAGGGATAAATACCAGGGAGGGAGAGGAATTATTTAAGCTCAGTACCAATGTGGACACAAGAACAAATGGATATAAACTGGCCAGACGAAGGTTTCTAACCATCAGAGGAGTGAAGTTCTGGAACAGCCTTCCAAGGGGAGCACTGGGGGCAAAAGACATATCAAGCTTAGTCTTGAAGCCAGATAAGTTTATGAAGGGGATGGTATGATGGGATAACCTAATTAATTGACCTTTGACTATTAGCGGTAAATAGGCCCAATGGCTTGTGATGGGATGTTAGATGGGGTGGGATCTGAGTTACTACAGATAATTCTTTCCTGGGTGTCTGACTGGTGAGTCTTGCTCACATGCTCAGGGTTTAGCTGATCACCATATTTGGGGTCGGGAAGGAATTTTCCTCTAGGGAAGATTGGCAGAGGCCCTGGAGGGTTTTCACCTTCCTCTGCAGCATGGGTCACGGGCCACTTGCTGGAGGATTCTCTGCACCTTGAAGTCTTTAAACCATGATTTGAGGACTTCAATGGCTCAGAAATAGGTTAGGGGTTTGTTGCGGGAGTGGGTGGGTGAGATTCTGTGGCCTGCATTGTGCAGGTCAGACTAGACGATCATAATGGTCCCTTTTGACCTTAAAGTCTATGACCCTATGATGTGTAGCCACACATTACTTTCACACATATGTAACATACCTCAAAGCAAACTTGGATGACCATGAAAATTTCAGCACTAAACATCTGCTAAAATAGTACAGATTCTGACTCGCATTGAAGATCTCCTCATTCTGTGACTAGTCCTATTGACTTCAATGGGACTATACATGGAGTAGATACATCTACTGTGGAGTACTGTATTGCTGCCCATCACTGTGGTGTCAGAGAGAGCCTTTTATGTAAAATGGATTAGGTACTTTTCTGTTGCCACAGGACCTCATGGGGTCCATTCCTTAAGCATGGAATGTTGTCCTTGGGATAGGGGCTTTTTGCTTGGCTGTTTGTGTGTAGCGAAAGGAGAGCTGTTGAGTGTTGTTCTGATTATGGTGGAACTACTATCAAACAGGAAGGTTTTGCAGTGTTCTCTAAAAGCAATCAGACTCTAGATTCATCCACTCTGGAAATGCATTCTGCAGCTTGAGCCCTTCAATGAAAAAGGCTTTTCTCCAACTCTTATGTGATTCACTCTGGGCTTTGTGACTTGTGTGGTCTCAGAGAAGTGCAACTGTCATGGCAATTCATAGACGGAGATACGACTCCGCTAACATGGGCCAGCCACGGGTGTTTAACTTTAGTGTAGACATACCCTAACGCAACTGAGATCTGATTAATTGATCTGGTTAGTCGTGAAGTGCTACTCATGGTGAGTAAGGATATCAGAATTTGTCTCTATTGAAGCCAACGCAACCAAGAAGATTGTCCTCAAAATAAAGAGCCTCAATTCCCTAAGAGAATCCCTCAGGGAAAACGCGTGCTAACAGACGCCTTGCAGCATGCCCAAATTTCAATAGAAGCAGAGAGTGCTGAAGACTTTGTAGAATTATGCCCAGGGGCAGTGGTGACCTGGAGCCGGTTCGCATCGGTTCGCAGGAACCGATTGTTAAATTTAGAAGCTGGTGTAGAACCGGTTCCTAAAGGGGCGGGCAGGTGAGCAAACTCCGGCCCGCGGGACCGTCCTGCCCGGCCCGCCTGAGCTCCCAGCTAGGGAGGCTCCCTCGGCCCCTCCCCCACTTCCCTGCCTCCTCGCAGAGCCCCAGCGCACCGCGCTGCCGGCATCAGCCCTCTGGGCAGCTCTGCAGCTCCTGCTGCTTTGAGTGGCATGGTAAGGGGGTGGGGCTGCGAGCTCCAGCGGCCGCGTGGCATCCTTACACAGCATCATGATAAGGGGGCCAGGGCTGGGAAGAGGGGCTGGATAAGGGGCAGGGAGCAGTTGGAGGGGGCGGAGGTTCTGGGGGGGCAGTCAGGGGACGGGGAACGGGGGGGGTTGGGTAGGCGTGGGAGTTCCGGGGGTCTGTTGGGGTGGTGGTGGATGGGGTTGGCGCAGTCAGGGGACAGGGAGCAGGGTGAGTTGGGTAGGGGGAGGGGTCCTGGGGGGCAGTTAGTTAGGGTGGGGGGTCTCAGGAAGGGGTGGTTGGGGACAAGGAGCGGGGGAGGATGATGGGTTGCGGGTTCTGAGGGGGGCAGTCGGGGGCAAGACATAGGTTGGGGTCGGATGGGTGGGTGGGGGAGGAGACAGGCACATGGGGCTTCTACTCACCGCGCGGTTCCCTACAGGGTCTTCGGCGGCGGGATGGGGTGGGGTTTTCACTTGCACCGGGTGAAGTACCTGCCGCCGAAAACCCGGAGCGAGTGAAGGCCCCCTGCCGCCAAAGTGCCACCGAGGACCTGGTAGGGAACCGGTTCTTAGGATTTGGGGAGCTCATCACTGCCCAGGGGTTGCCATAATTGCCTACTAAAGCCTTCACATTAATCTTTCCCAAAAAGGAAGATTAGTGATGAGATGGTACCTGGGAGATTGTCAGTAACAAGAGAAGGTTTCATAATCAAGAGCCTAACAATTGCTTCCCTCTGGATTTCACCATCTCAGGAGCTCACTAGTCCAAAAGGCAGCCCTCGCACGAAGGTTTCCATATATTTCCAAAAACACAGTAACCTATATTGGCTAAATCCCAAGAAGAGAAGATTTAACATTTGTTCCTGCCATGCATACCTCTGCCAATATTCAGGCAGACAATCTGATCTCAATCTAAGAGATCTTGGTCCATTTGAGTTATTGACCTACATTTCAACCATTAACTCACTCAGCACTTCTCCCTTGTTCCCTTCACTGAAATAACAAATGGGATTAGAGAGACAGTGAAAATTGTGTAAATAAAGAAACAATCTGCTAATATGCAATAATTTGCTAAACTTACAATTTATTCATTTTTCTTTTTGTAGTGAAATTTGAAATTACCCTGCAGTACCAAAAGAACACCAGTAAATTACGAAAGAAAATGCATTCAAACAGAGAACCTATATTCAATCAGCTAGTTCAAAGAATACTGTTTATCAGCAGTATTACTGGTCAATACCAATACTAAGTAACCCTCACAAACTCATACAAAATAAAGTAGAAAAGTCTTACTCCATGAAATAGTTTAGAAACATTTTGTGCTAATCCACGTTTCATTAGTAACAGAATTAGCCACATTTGGCTGTTCATTGTGGTTTGGCTTTGAATCCATAATTAATAGCTATTTGTACTTATATTTATTACAAGGGCAGCATTTGTCAGAGCTAATGAGTGGACGAATGGAGAGACAGGCACATAAATGAATATGGAAGTGAATAGCTGAATGAAGTGCAGCAACAGGAGAGAGTTGTACAGGATTCAACTATGCAAACTCACCAATAGCAGGTATATAATTTTACATGCTGCCACCCTGTCTTCTCCTTGCATTCTGTCTACTAATAGGAGGAAATGTAAACTACATGTAGTATTGCCAACCTCAAGAGATCAAAAATCATGAGTCAGACCCCCTCCCCCAAAATCATGAGATTTTAAGAACTCCAGCAAATCATGATTTATAGTCTGTTGCTTGACTTTTTCATTCCACTCTACTTCTCTGCCAATGTGTGAGAGATCATTTCAGGCTGAAAACCCAAGCGTTAATGCTCACAAAAATGCATGCCTCTCCATCTGCTCAGATGGAGACTCCACTTACCTTAAGGGCTTGTGTACCCTTACCATGCTGTGATTGATGCATCGGCGTTCAATTTGGCAGGTCTAGTGAAGGCCTGCTAAACTGACTGCAGATCGCTCTCCCATCGACTCCTATACTCCACTTGCATAGTGTGGACCCCGTGGTAAGTAGATCTAAGCTTAGGGTGACCAGATAGCAAGTGTGAAAAATCGGGACGGGGGTGAAGGGTAATAGGAGCCCATATTAAAAAAAAGCCTCCAATATCAGGACTGTCCCTATAAAATCAGGACATCGGCTCATCCTAAGCTACGTCGATTTGAGTTGCACTATTTACGTAACTCAAATTGTGTAGCTTAGATCGACTTTTCCCTTTAGCGTAGACAAGGCTTAAGATAGTAATAGGAAATGGATGGCAGTTCTCCTATCTTGACTCTCTCCCATCCTAGTTTATTTGCTTTGATAAAAAGAAGGTCTGGATGGTAAATAGGTTGAGTACCACTGACCTAATTAATGCATCATGATTCACACTCACACACAGAACTTGTATTACTTTATCGGGTTGATGAGTTACAGATATTCACATTAAAGACCTTAATATTAACTCCCAGTTTAGCTGAATAGGAATGTGTCAAGAGATGGACTTAAGCAACAATGAGTATTGTGTACATAGTATGCAAGAGCAGAAGAGAAATATGCTCAGTCATTACATTTGAGTAAACTCACATGTTTATGTAGTCCAGCAATAAAAGAACAGATGACGGATTCACAAATAAGCATGAAATAACTAATCAAAATAAATAAATGGGCAGCTATCCAGTGGGCAGCTCCCTCAGGAGCACAGTTATATAATCCCCTTAATTAAATATTTTAAAAAAATTAAGTATTGAAAGTATTTGCAATATTCCATAATGACACTGTTTTATGCACAAACTTACTGTCAGAGATCCTAGAGACCATCCCTTCCTGGCCACCCACTAGGCGACTCCAAGCTTCTGCTGCTCTAGATCCCCAGGATGCGTTAAGCATCTGGAGCGTCAACGGAGTCCAACCACTGCCCAAATCTTGGGGTCCCTAAGCACACTCTCAGGGTGCAGACCTTCCATCTGGCACCCCCTTCTGAGTGTTGGAACCTGCTTTCCAGCCACACTAGCCCCTCTAAACACAGCCTTGACCCCTCAATACTTAAACACACCGCTCTACCAGAACTCCGCCCAATAGGTGGAAAGCTTCTGGTTTACAATTTAACTCCTTTAGGGGTGTGCAGTAGTTGTGAAGCCAGTTACATACTCTCTCTCTCTCACACACACACACACCCCTACCTTTCAGAAGTGCCAGGGGGTGCTCAACCCCCACCCTGCCTCTTCCCACCTATTTCCGCCCCATCCCCCAAACGCGCCGCGTTCTTGCCCCCCCCCCCGCATGCCATGAAACAGCTGATTGCAGCAGCCAGGAGGCGCTAATCTGTGGGGCCCGCTGGTGGGCGGGAGGCACTGGGGCGGCAAACCTGAGAGGGGGGCGGCCGGTGGGTGCTGAGCACCCATCATTTTTTCCCCCTGCAACCCCGGAGCACCCACGGAGTCAGCGCCTCTGCGCACACACACCACTGTGTTCAATCTATCAATTTTAGGCTCTTTTCTTCTTAATCATACAAAGCACAGGAGAGTACAGATCATACAAAACAATAAAACACTCTAAATGCAGCGTCCCTCACTAGCTCACCTCCCTTGGGAGATCATCTGTGTTCTGTCAGTCAGTCAGGGTCTTTTATTGTATTGCCTACCCTGCTCCTGCAGCAGCCTCCGTCATCCTACTCTGGTGCAAGATAGCTCTCTCCCCGTTTCCACTTCCCCTCAAGAGTCCCTTTATAGACTCCTGCTGGGGACATCCGACTCTTTTGTTCTCCACCTGGTAACTTTCCATTACTTCCAAACTCCTCTTCCGCCTTCAGATAAATGGAGAAAAGGTCTTCACCCAGCTAGAGCAAATCCAGTGTCACAATCCTTTGTGTGATGATCACTCACCATTGTCTTTGGCCTGGCTGGCAGAGACATGATACAACCCTGCTAATGCAGCATTGCTGTAGCCATGTGGGTCCCAGGATATTACAGAGATAAGGTGGGTGAGGTAATATTTTTTATGGGACCAATTTCTTTCGGTGAGAGAGACAAGCTTTCGAACTACACAGAGCTCTTCTTCAATTCCTGGGGCATCCACAATAATTTCCATGATACAATTTCATAAAATCATCCACAATTCGGAAGGGGTGCAGACAGAATCCACAGTTGATCACACTTATATTAATCATTCATATAAGCAATAATGCCACAGTAAAAACAATGGGATTGATTTAGCCTTTTGCTTGAAGCAACACTTCCTTGACTCTACCCCTTCCCTGCACCTCCGTACCTGCCTCCTCCTGCTCCAGATGCTCCACAATCCCCTCCCCATCCCTCTCTTCTGCTCCCAAAGTCTGCTCCTGCTCCCCCACACTCTCCCCATCCACCCTTCAGTGTCTCTGCTGCTCCTCACAGTCCCTGACTGCATCCTGTCTAGCACCCAGACCCATAGAGTGGCAGCCATTTTGCCTATGGGCCTGGCTTCAGTTCAACTGAAAACAATAGGGGGCAGCAGCTAGCTTTATAAAGGGCAGCCTCACGTCCAATGCAGATAGATCATAGGGAAATGGCGGCCATCTTGCTGGCCTCGGCCCCACTGACATTAATAGGAGATGGTGGCTATTTTGAATAAGGGAAAATTTGTGAGTTGGTGCCTTGCATCGTGTTTTCATGAGACAGGTAAAAGCCACCCCAAAATTGCTAGAGTCACGATAAAATTATGGGAATTGGCAGTACTGCACATGTCCTTCCTTCATCTACAAATCTTTCATGACTTCTCGGAGGAGGGCACCAACTGCCCAATGCACTTCTCCACACTTACTTTTGACAGGTGGCTTGAGCTTCTTTCATTGTGTTTCCTGCATTCAGCATGTCCTGGGCATCAAAGGTCATCATGGCTTGCATTTCCAGTATGGTGGCATATGTCAGTGCGTGATACATACTGTCCTTAGTTCTGTTTAAAAAAAACAAAACAAAACAAAAAAAAACCTCATCTTACTTTCAAAACTGTTAAAGACTTGGCCAAATGTCTCAGCATTTCACACCTATCTCCCACCTTCCACCCTCAATTTGAATACAATTTGAATACACAGACACTGCAGGATTTCACATGGCACTTTATAAGGCATTTTTTCAATCCTTTAATTATTCTCATGGCTCTTCTCTGAATGGTCTCCAATTTTTCAACAACTGTCTTAACATGTAGAAACCCGAACTGGACACCATATTCCAGTAGCAGTCAAACCTGTGCCAAATATGGAGGTAATATAATCTCCCCACTACTATTTGATATTCCCATTTATACATCAATGGATTCCATTAGCCCTTTTAGCCACAGGGTCACACTGGGAGCTCATGTTCTTCTGATTATCCACCTTAACCCCCAAGTTTTTTTCCCCCCAGATACACTACTTCCCAGGAAAGAGATCCCCATTCTGTAAGCGTGGCCTGCACACTTTGTTCCTAGAGATAGGACTCTACATTTGGCTGTATTTAAACACATTATTTTCTTGCACCTAGCTTACCAGGTGAAGTGCCTCGCTCTGTACCAATGACTTAATGTTCTTCATTATTTACCACTCCCACAATCTTTGTGTGATCTGCAAACTTTTGTCAATAATGATTTTATGTTTTCTTCCAGGTCACTAGTAAAAATATTAAATAGTGTAGAGCCAAGAAATTATTCCTGGAGGCGTCCACTAGAAATACATACATTTAATGATGACTACCCATTTACAATTATATTTTGAGATCTACCAACTGGCTGTTCTTTTTCCTATAAATTAATTTTGAAAATATATTCGAGGATGTGATGGAGATTCCCACAACCGAGTCATTCTTTTTAGGTGGCAAATCTGAGGAACTCTCCCAGATTGGTCCATAGATGTGGTTTTGGAACAAACTGATAAATTAAACAGTAATAAGTCACCAGCACCAGATGGTATTCATCCAAAAGTTCTGAAGGAACTCAAATATGAAATTGCAGAACTACTAACTGTAGTATGTAACCTATAGCTTAAGTCAGCCTCCGTACCAGATGACTGGAGGATAGCTAATGTGACAATTTTTTTTAAAAGGCTCCAGAGATGGTCATAGCAATTACAGACCGGTAAGCCTAACTTCACTATAGTTTCAACCAGTTTGCCTGGTATTGAAGAACAGAATTATCAGACTCTTAGATGAACACAATATGTTGGGGAAGAGTCAGTACAGCTTTTGTAAAGGGAAATCATGCCTCACCAATCTATTAGCATTCTTTGAGGGGGACAACAAACAGGTGGACAAGGGTGATCCAGTGCATATAGCTTACTTGGACTTTCAGAAAGCCTTTGACAAGGACCATCACCAAAGGCTCTTAAGCAAAGTAAGCAGTCGGAGAAAGTCCGTTCTGGCTTTAGGCAGGAAAGAAAACATGGCACATCCCTTGAAGGTCACAACCACTGTTGCACCATTGGCCATCACAGTAATAAATGTAGAACTTTTCCTATAATGAAAGCCTTTCACACTCCCTGTCTAAACTCCTGTTTCTGTTTGCCTCCTGAGGAGTTTGGCTGGCAACTGACTTCTCTGGGAAACCGCATTGCTCAGCTACTTTCCCTCACCAATGGGGAGGGATTAATTACTCAGAGACTTAAAAAAACAGAGCTGATCACAGACCCAAGGGTCCCAGACTCAATCCTCACAGAAACACGAACAAACAGACCTGGCTTACGTACTCTGTTGAGGGCCCAAAAACCCAGCCTCATGGAGAACAACCAACAGACCAGAAACACACCCCAGGGGACTGTGGACCCATGGTTGAGCACTGCTACTCTAGAGCTCTGCGTGGATACAAAAATTTGGATCCGCATCCAATCCGCAAAGACGTAAACAATACAATCACAGATATTCACGGATATAAAGCAGATATCCATGGATTTTCAGGGTTCTAGAAACAAGAGGTGCAGAGCCCAACAGATAACCAGGTTCCATGTTTCATTTCAAGAGTTTGGATTGCAAAGGGACATTAACCTACATCTGATATAGAAAAAGATTTTTGACTCCCATCCTACATAGGTGTAAATGGATGTGTTAGACAGGAGCTACCCAGAATCCTCCGCTTTCCACTTATTTGCCACTCAAGAACAGTAATGTGCCCAAGCTGCAAACAGAACTACAGATGGTTTGGTTTCATCATTAGCATTCCATAAGGTTCAATTCTCGGGTTATATCATCCATGACAAAATTCCAAGGAGAGCAAACCAGCAGTGGGTCCGATACACTGAGTATTAAATAAAGAGCAAGAGGATAATCCTGAGATTTTTCTCTGTACTGAAACTGACCTGTAGTTCCTTGAGAGAACAGTAATTAGTACCTCCAGGCCCAGAAGTTGTTGTACCCTGGATCTTATAACATAACATTTTTCAAGCCAGTATCATATCTCAGATGAGGATGCATCTCTGATGCAGAGGTGATTGTTGGAGTTTATTTAATTTCAGAATGGGCTCTTCCGTATAGTAGACAAAGGTATAACAAGATGCCATGGCTGGAAGTTGCAACTAGACAAACTGAGACTAGAACTGAAGTGCACATTTTTAACAAACTGGATGTTTTTCTGGTTCAAACAGGAATGAATTCAGTAAAGTCCTATGGCCTGTGTTATGCAGGAGATCAGAGTAGATGTTCACAATGGTCCTGTTTGGCCTTTTCTGAATCTATACCATTGAATAAGACCTGTAACAGCTTTTAGGAAGAGGCCTAAAGCAGCATGTTGGATCTTGATCAGCATCACATGTAAAAAGAGGGATGCAAGAGAGTAAACAGGATCTACAAGTCCCAGAAATCAACTGAACCGGTTTCAGCAGAAAAGGCCAAAGGAAGAATGCATTACGGAGACCGAACCTTTCTATCCGTAGAAGTACCCATCAGAGCAGGGCTAAGCAGATTGGCAGACCAATGAAGAGGAAAAAAGCTTAATTCCCCTGCCTATGCTGCAGTGTGCTATGTGCAGAGGACTTCGGTCTTAATTCCATACTTCTCATGAGTGAATAGAGACTCGCTAGTAATGAAGAATAGCAAAGAGTTGAAAACAAGCCAGTCCAATAAGAAACCCATTTTATGCAAGTCAAGGCACAATTTAACAAAAACCTCTCTCCTCCAACAACCAGGGCTTCCCCATTGTTTTCTAAAGCATACTAGCTTGATAACAAATTAGTGCAAATTGAGCATCAATTACATTATATCCCTCTAAAATAAGTGTTTTATCGACTTAGTTGAGTCATATTGCCCTAATCTTTTTATACGAACAGAAACAAGCTGTGCCTTCCCATTTAGTCTTTTTTAATCAGAAGTTTCTGCCACTAGTACATGATCTGTTTGCTCTCAGCTGTTGCCAGAATTACACAAAAATAGGAGGCTAATGAGCAGGTTTGTATAAATAATAAATACTAATCTGTGCTTCTGTAACAACAGCTTTCCTCTGAGGCTCTTCTGATCTACGCTAGCATATGTAAGTGCAGAAGCAGGCCAGCCAGTATTTTGGCCATTTTCTGTCAGTGTTATTAAAGCCCCCATGGGGGAGACAAATCAGTATAATTTTATAGCTAGACTCCAGAGAATGGTAAAACCAGATTTGCCCCTTCCCACCAATTCCCCTGCAACGCTGGCTGACATTTCTGTAGTGCATGTAATCCAATGATCCCAAAGCTCAATAACTTTTACCTGCTGATTACAAAACTATATGTATAGGACAGAATCATTTTACTCCTCCAGTTGAAATGCAGTCATTTTGGGGGTGAAAGAAAGTAGACTTTAAATAAAGAGCAGCTACAAAAGAGTTCAGAGCAATGGGACAAAGCACTGAGATCTGCCAGATGCGTCAGCAGTCTGATCACTGAAGCCTCAATTAGTTCCCCTCGGAACGTCTGACTGAATAACGAGCTAATCAGAAGGAGAAGCTGGGGAGGTAAGAAACTAATTAGCCCCCAAGCTGACCAACAGGATAAAAGGTGGGAGGTGTTACTGAGGAGAGGGCTAGCTGAGCCTGGACTGAAGGAGCTCCCTAGAGAGAGAGGGAGACCTCCTTTCTTCCCAGGACCCTAGCCAAGAAATGTTGAAAGAAGTAGAGGTTCAAACTGTGATGTTGCACTATATGGGTGTTGGTGGGTGGGTTTAGAATAAAATATAAACTGCACCCAAGAAGAAAGTGGGTCTGAACAGTTTCTAGGGCATCACAGGATGGGGACAGAGCGTGGCCCTGTCACAGGCAGAAAGTGAAGAATACCATATCATACTGAAACGACACATGAATTTTTGGTTTGGAGAATGTAATTTCCTAGTTGGAATGTGGCCATGACATGGGATTAAAATCCTGAAGAATGCAGCCATGGCATCTTTAATGACCACAAGTATTCAGGATCCTGGTTTTACATTACATCCAAAAGTTGTCATGAGCAAACACTGGCTAGGCAGGTATTTGTAGAGAAGCCTATAAAGGTAGGAACCCTGTCCCTAGCAGGCGATGCCAGTTTCACCCAGGGATAAAACCAATCTGGCTGAGTTTCAGTCATTAAGACTGGAAAAATGATGATAGATTAGGGGAAGCAGTAGGAGGATCTGGTGAAGATTACATCAACCCGGCTGACGGAAGGTATTTATCCAACACTTGTGACTCAGGCTTGCCAGTTAGGTGCATTGCTAGATCCCCAGCTGTTACATGATCATATAACTCAGCAGCAGCGCCCAGAAAGGCTTTTATTCGTCCACATCTGTACAGGAAGTTGTGACCTTTTCTTTCGGATAGCCACCATGATCCATGCCTTTATCGCCTCCGGATTAGACAACTACAATGTGCCACTCTTTATGGCGCTACACTGTAAGTTCATTTAGAAACAGAAGCTGGTGCAGAATACATCAGCCTGTGTATTAAGTAGTGTACCCCACCAGCACTTTGGGAGCTTCATCCACTTCCTTCAGGTTTCTGGGTGGAGGTATAGGTGTGTTGACTGCAAGCTTGAAAGGGCTTGGAGCCTTCCACCTGAGAAACCAACCTTCTTTCTGTGAGACATTGCCACGGTTACAATCAAGTGATGCATTAGAGCAGAAACTTTCTTGCTTAACAAGAAAGGGAGCAGTTGGCAGGGTGGTCCTCTATGACGGCCCTTCAACTTTCATATTCATTCCCAACCTTTCTTCCAAAATAGCTCAAATTTTTTGACCTCGAGGCACTTACTTTTACATACTTTGAAGGCTTTTTTGTTAATTGTTAGGGTGGCTGACGGTTGGGAAAGGTTAATATTCTACATAAAAAATTAAATAAAAATAAAACCTCACGGCCCAGGTCTGCATGGTGAAGAATATGTAACGAATTGGACCCTACAATTAGGACAAACATTATTAGTGGAGAGAAGAGGGAAATTAGCTCTAAAATCTAAAAAGCAGCAACCAAAAGATCTTTATGTAATCTGAAGAAAGAAGCCACATAAATATTTTAATGAAACTAGATCTGCCTTTCTGACATGCTCTTCTATCAGGAACAGAGATTTTATCACTACACAGAAGCACCCAGACATTGATTTTTAAACTGCTAGGAAAGACCTGTCAGTTATAACTGTCTCAGCTGCTGCAATAGATATTGTCATATATGCAGAGTCTACTTCTGCTCTCAGTTACACCTGATGCAAATGAGATGAAGATTAATGGAGCTAAACTGATTTTAGATGCCAAACGTGGCTAAATTGGTTATTTCAGTGGAATTGCAATGGTGTAACCCAGAACAGAACATGTCCCACACCATAAGTGATAAATCCACAAAATCTAAAAACAAAGAATTATTGGGACAACAGGTAAGAACTCTGAAAAATAAATACTTTTACAGGCTGTGGAAATCCATTTCAAATCTCAGCATGCTAAAAAGCAACAATGAGGAACTGATGCCCCACCCCCAAAGAAAACGTTGCCTATTATTACACATCCCACTCCCACAACTATTGTCATTCCCTAAAGAGATAGCGTGTGTCTGTAATGAAGATCATTTGTATTGCCTGTGGTGTCAAGGGCTAAGGGGTTGGGGGCCTCCCTTTGACAATGGACTAAGATGAAAGATCAGTTTGAAAATGGTTTTGCAATTAAATAAATTCATATTCAAGATACGAGGATATAAAGTCAGCTCGTGAAATGAATTCAACAGGGCCCTATGAAAACAGAATGGAAACTATATGCAATGAACGAGAATAAAAATGGATGGATAGACAAATATATAGGCCCCTTCACAACAGGGGTCTCAGTGTCACTTTTGCAGCATTTTACTATCCCCCTTTTCTTTTTTAAATACAAAGTAAACATACCCACATGGGCACAGGGACATTTTGCACGTGATTTCGGTGAAAATAGTGCTGCTCTTGTTAACATTTCGTGACAACCTCCCACGCTACAAAAACACAACACTTCAGCACTGGGAATAAGGCAGATATCATCCCAAACCACTAGAAGGCTCACCAACTCCACAATTTGCCAAAAGCACATTTTACACAGTATCACCAACAGTGCAGCCTACAAAGCCAGTACCTTTGGTATCGAGGAGTAGGGTCAGTGCCCAAATAAGGTAGGTACATCACACCCACTGGAATGAATCCTTGACACATACCAAGCATACCAGCACTTTCCTTTGGTGGCGCCTGCTGTGACAAGCAGAGTGGACAGGGAGAAGAGCAGGAAAGAGATGCACAACACTGAGATTTATTTTACATGGAGGCGGGGCAGAAGGCTGGCTGAAGCAATACATGGGGGAAGTGCAGCTGCTGCGACTTGGTGGCCAGCTGCTTTTCTGTATGTCTCAGGCCCATCCCAGCTCTGAGCAAATGCAAAAAGACTTAAAAGGCAGCCATTTTGTTTTCTTTTAACTCTTGCACACCAGTGACTAGAGTCCAGATTGTCTCCAGCCCAACAAATCACTGATATCACAGGGTACTTGTAAATGGAAGCAGTTTAGGATGAAAGAAAGTGACATAGCAAGAACTGACTCTATATCCAATTGTGTTCACTGTATACGTCAGCGGCTTGAAATAAGGAAGGAGCAGTGTCGAAATCTGCTGATGGCACAACACTAGGCAAAACAACCTGTGGCAGCAGGGGTGGGAGCTGGCAATAAAATACAAAAGGACTTGGGAAGGAAAGAACTCAGGCAGATTCAAGTTAAAGTATGAAAACACTGTGGGAATAAAGAGACACACAAAAAATTTAAAAAGTGATCATATGCCCTCATTGCTCATAACCAGGGTTGTGTGTATAATGCAATTTTGCAACTGTCAGCATGGCTACAGTGGCGTGTGTGTTTTAGTTGCTGCATAAATGTATTTCAGAAGCAAAACACTCCTTTAAAAGAATTAACTCTCTAGCCTTCAAGGTCACAAAGAAAACCTTTCAAATGTCAACTGAGATCTTGTCTACTCTAGGAATTGGCCCCAAATCCAACAATCAATTGATGGCCAGCCACTGCACCAGTACAAACCCCAAATACAGGCAAGGGGAAAAAATCAGATTTACACTGCTCCTCTTTACACAAGGGAACATTCAATAAGATTTAAAAGGTGCAAAATTCAAACTGAGAAAAGGAAATTAATTACACATTATGTGAAAAGATACTATGGCAATAAGGTAAGGCGTTTAAGGCCAAGATCTCAACAAGATTCAAAAAAGGGATTGGACATTTATATGGGTATCAAGAATATCCAGACTTACCATAATTATAACAACTTTTTGTAGAAGGGATATTAAACCCCATGCTTCAGGGCTTAATCCAATCTCAATCTATTATTAGAGATGAGGATGAAATCTATTACGAGTGGCAAGTTACCTTACACCTGCCTACTGCAGAGTCTCTTAATTTCCTCTGAAGCAACTGGTGCTAGCCACTGTCAGAGACCGGACACTGGAGTAGATGGACCTTGGGTCTGATCCAGTATGACAATTCTTACCTTTCAATGAGTTTACCCTAGTTTCAAGCAGGGTTGAGCTCCACTGAAGCTGTGGCTTTCTTTGTCTACACTTGGGTTTACATTGAGACAGCTACATCAATGGCACTTGATCCTATAACCTGGCCTTATCTAAGTTGTTGAGTAAGGACTACTCACATAGGATGATTAATTAGTTTTAATTTTCTAAGGTGTCTCCATTGCTTGTGGGATTATCACTGAAAGGGCTGATGGAAGAATTGTGCTCGGGAAAGGATATGTACGTGGATGGAGATCATTAAAGGAGGATGCGGCATGGAAAAAGGCATAAAGTGGAAAAAGGAGAAAAAACAGTTGTCAGATGGAAGGCATCAAAGGAGCTGAAGCAGTGGAAAGAAATGAGCAGAGATAAAGGAAGAGATGTTCAGAAATGTGAAAGTGGGGACAAGGAGCATAAACTGGGAAAAGGGAAATAGCATAAAAAGTGAAAAGTTATTGGTTCAGGTTTTATACTCTGACATGTTAATGACACAGACAAGGAGAGATTGCTTTCAACTATGATGTATAACCTGATAACATTTTTTTTCAGTTATGTTCCTTGTAACAAACTGCGACAGAACCTGTACTCATTGGTAAGAGCAACTAAGAACTAGGTTGCATGTTACAGAACATACTGTTTGGTAAGGAAGAGTAAACATTTCATTCATCATAGGCTTGTCTATATGGTGCTTTAGTCCACACCAGAGGGATGCGTCTGACAAAGTGGGTGTTTACCCACGAAAGCTTATGCTCCAATACATCTGTTAGTCTTAAAGGTACCACAGGACTCTCTGTTGCTTTTTACAGATCCAGACTAACACGGCTACCCCTCTGATACTTGACATGAGAAGGATGTAAATTTTAATCTGTACTAGTTTGTTGTGCACTGCCTGGCTTGTGTAGACCCTGCTGACATGCACAGAAAGTTCTCTATTGGGCTTTAATGTAGTCCTGCTTCAAATAGTACTACATTAACCAGCACTAGGGAACTTTTAGCGAATGTCAGCAGGGTCCACATGGATAAGATAGTTCACACTAGCTTGTCATGCACTAAAATTCACACCCTCCTGGTGCGGACTAAAGCACCATATAGATAACTCCAAGATGTTGCGGATAGGGCAGCTGCACAAAGTACTATAACCACTGATCAATACCATGCCATTTACCTGTCTCGGGGGTGGGGGTGGGGGAGAAATCTTTCCTTCTTCCAACACCAGCAACTTGCTATGTACAACCTAAAAGGTTATATTATCCCACCGCCTCCTATCCAAAGGGAATATTATTTATCTGTCTAGTGCTCAAAGTGTAGTGGCAGTTCTAATGGAAGATGAAGAAAGCAAAGAAAAAAACAAAAACAAACCAAAAAGCTGGTAAAAGTATTCAACTTACTTCGCTTGTAGGGAAGCAAGGGCCTCAGGAAATTTGTTGCTTAGAAATAAATCCACAGCCATCATACATTCATCCAGGGCTACATTCAGGTCTGACGCAGATCTGTCAAAAAAAATTTAAAGAATGACAAAACCTACTACTTCCAATCCTCTGTTATTGAGCTTCTCATTTCTTGTAATGACAACATTTATGAGAAGTCCACTAATACACCACATAACAACTAACCCCCTAGCTTTGTAGTAAATATGCTGTCAGGAAATAAGAAACTAGTTATCACTTTAGATATTCCTTTATCTGTCCCTCATTTCCTCTCTCTCACACAGCCTCCACCCATCACCTTCTGGTCAGTTTCTACTATAAGATCTTAAATCCCTTTGCATTAGGTTTGTAAAACAGAGTGCCCTCTTGTCTTGGTGCCATGTTATCATATACAGACAGCATGTCACCACCTAAAGATGCACCATCCTCACATTATGACATTTTCAGATTCAAATTAAATCCAAGGCTCGTTAAACTGCCCTGCAGATTCTAGGCTCACTGATCCGAATTGAGATCAGCCCATAAATCTTCGGATTGGTGGTAACCCTTCATTCAATGCCATTCCTGAGCTAGTAAAAAAAGCTACAAAGACAAAGTGGTCCCTGCCCCAGAAGTAGAGAATAAGCATTGCCCCCTTTCACCCTGGAACAAAGGACTAAACGGACTCGAGATGGGACCCAAGCCGCACAGTTCAGGTGGTGGTTAAATGCGGGGTTTTGGTTTGGTCCATTATAGAAATAAGGACCAGCTGCAAAGTCTGGATCCTTACCTAAACGTTTCCAAAGTTTGGTGATGGTTGTGTTCTGACCCATCTAGTGGCACCGAGACCACAGACAGAGACATTTATATATATATATCCTTAGCTAAGACCCATGCAGTAGAGGCGTTACAAGTGGGGGTGCTTGTCCGGGATTTCAATTGGGAAGTCTCTGAAGTGTGGAACACGCTTCCTCAGCCAGGGGAAGTATGTAACCACACACCTCCTGGGTGTGGTGTTCTGTCCCATCTAGTGGCTTGGAGACCACTTACAGAGAGAGAGATTAAGGAGTCTGCTCTACTGCCTTCGCTAAGCCATATGGCTTTTAGCTCGTGCACTGAGCTCCAGAGGCCCCAAGTTTGATCCCGCCCACTGACAACTTGGGTGTCGGTGTTACAGTTGCATCCAGGGTTTTGGTTCAGGTCCATCTCTAAGATATCCAAAATGAATAAGGGCAGAACAAACAAACAAAAAAAACTGATCAGACCCTTCCTTTACCCTACCTACCCTGTAAGATGAGAACAAGGGCTCTCAATGAAATTAAGGAAAAATATTTCTTCCTACAGCTTGCTATCAGTCTACGGATTTCATCACTGCAGTAGGATCAGAATGTCAAATACTGTGCCTGGATTATTTTATAATAAAAACATTAGTAGTTAAGCACGCTAGAATATGGTATAAGCTGATCATTGCAGAGGTCAGAAAGCAATCATCCCTTCAACATGCAGCATAACTGGCTAGTTGCAACAGGGTTCCCCCTCCCCCCCATCTTCTGAAGTCACTGCTTGAGACAAAATACTGGATTTGAGGGACTAATGGTCTCGGACAGCATGGAAACGCCTACATACATTGTTGCTGGAATGGCCTCGTGGCAGCACTGTTTAACCCACATTTTGTGCGGCCATCGACCACAAAGTATGAGAAAGAAATAAGTCACTACAGCTATGTATATTCAAATCAATTCAAATATCAGCCCCAAAGTGCTAGTTTGAGTAAAAAATAGCTGCAATATGCAGGTGAAAAACTAAATGCAGAATAGCGTAATCAGAGGATTAGTTCAGTGCCTTACCCTGACTGCATCTGTTTTCTTTAGGAGACTCTGATATTATGGCCTGATGTGTCAGGCTAATCTTTGATGAGTGCTTCTCAGATGGTCTCAGGATGACTGGTAATGAGATAATAGACCATCTGAAAAGTTCTGGCCAAAGTTCAAACCAAGACATAAAATTGTTGTACATGAAATGGCAGAAAGAACAATAGACTTTGCACTGGCAAGGTTAATGTACTCTGGGAAATGTTGAAATATGGGTATTTTGCACCTTTTAAAGAAAGACTAGATTTCATTAGTACATGGTGCGCAAGCTAGTTTGGGTAATTTTTACAAAGTAATAAAGACTCATTTTCTCCTCCATCTCTCCCCGACTTTGGTTGCTCTAACTAACAAACTGTCTTGTGACTTGGAATCTGTTGCTTCCTTTTAAAAAAAAAATTGCAAACATATAACTATCAAACTGAAAAAGAAATAGACCTCGAAAACAGGAAGTGTGCTAACAATATCACCCTAATGAGAAAGAGATCAGAGCTCAAAATAAGGCAATGAGAGGTTAGTAATTACACTGAGGACTTTGCAATAATTTTTCTTTACAAAGCAAAACACTTTATTGAAGAAAAACAGCATGATTTTTTCCATGCTCAAGAACCAGGCTTAGAAATTTGAGAGAAACACATTATGTGACAGTGTCTCATAGCGCCTGTATCTTCACACTTTTCAGTTGTGCTACCTATTGTTCTCCTCCTGGAAAGACTTCAGACATTGATTAGCCCCAACATCCCCGTGAGCCATTGTGTGTCTAATACAATCTAATGTATGAATAAACTATACATCTTAGAGCCCCACTCTGAGCCTGCTATATTTACTATTTTAAAACTGTCATCTGTAGGCTGAGTGTATTACAGTTATTTAACCTATGCCCTTCAATATAACAGCATATTTAACATTGATCTGAAACATGTTCTCATCTAATTAAAAGTCTTTAGATGTTATTACTAATAAGTATTTTTTTTAATTATTTACCTTTGTGCAGAATGTTGATTTTTGTTTTTGTTTTTTAAGTACAAGTACACTTCCTTGTGAGATTCCTTTTTACAAGAGAAAAGTGCTGGAAGTTTAATACTGTAAAAGTTTAAAGTATACATAAAATATCTGAACCCCTTGGAATCCTTTCTAAAAGAAGAATGCTTAACACAATCCCATTCTCCTCTCAGCAGCCACAGTAATGCAAGTTACACACCTACCTTCCTAGTGTTCTAATGAAACTAGGATATTTGATGCACTCACTGAGTAAAGAAAGCAGAATGCAAGCAGGTCAGGTGAATGCCATTTAATTATAAATGATACAGATCCTAATCTGTTAATATAGTAGTTCAAAGAAGAAATACTTTAGAGAATACTGAACATTTTTGCAAACTGATTAGTCATGCTTCAGTGCGTTGCACTTTCTCTGATGCCTTCTCTCAGATATAAAATCAGCCCTGCTTCAAATCCAAATGTAAGTAACCGTATATCTGTACTTACCCTTCTAGTAAGTCTCCGTTGTCTTTTGACATGGTCATTTGCACTGTATAGTGAGTGTGGAAATCAGCAGCGTGAATTACCAAAAGACATCTAGCAGCAGCAGGCACTCCACACCACTTAACCAGCTCAGAATGACAGTCACACTAAGCGCAGGGCAGGGCACGGTCTGCCTGCCTGCAGAGCATGGCATATTCACTGATTGGTCATTACGATAAAATAAAGGGAGTTTCTGTAGTTCAGTTGTAATATCCTATGCATGAGTGATTTGGGAATCATGCCCTCTGCGGGGCTAGGCATTGCTCAGTCAGAGACTCCAGTTGCTGATGCCCCTACTGGCTGAACAGGTACTACTGCATTGGGGGGAGGGTTAATATGGGGCCACACACCTAGGGCCATCCCTCCCCACCCCAGATGGACCCATAATGGTATAGTGGGTGGAAACACTCTCCCCCTCACCACATGGACTTGGCTAGCTCCTCTGCAGTTTTCTCCCAAGTAGGGGCGCTGGAACAGTGTTTATAGTGGGGGTGCTCAGAGCCATTGAACCAAACTGTAAACCCTGAATCAAATGGAAACCACTTCAAGCCAGGGGGTGCGGCAACACCCCCCCACACACCCTTAGTTCTAGCACCTACACCACCAAGAAACTCCAGGCAGTAGGAGCAGAAGCAGCTAAAGGCGGGACTGGAGATCTGTTCCTTCAGACATTGAGAGAACTTTCTAGTTTTGACGGGACTTTCTCTTCCCTGTGCTGATTGGCTGTTTGCGCCAACCCTCCCACTCCCTCACCGTCTCTTCACCTCAGCCTCACGCCACATCTGTCCCTCTTTCGGAGTGGCGGAAGCTTCCTAACAGTGTGTGTGGGGGGGAACACTGGTACCTGAACCATGGCCTCACCCCCCATCCCACCTCTTCCCCCAAAACCCCTCCTCCCCGTTCACCCTTATAGCCAGTAAAAAGTGGGAGGGCTAAAAGTGAGGGGGCCACGGCCCCCGATTCCCCCGTTCCGGCGCCCCTGCCCTCTTACCCTCTTCTCTCCTGACTTGTCCCCCTCCCTTCCCATTTAGCTTTGTGGACCTAACATGGTGTTTGCTGGCCTCCTACTGGTCACACTGCTTGTGTGTGTTCTACCCTCTTTCCCCACTGTGCGTCTGTCTTGTCTATTTACATCGCTGCTCTTCAGGGTAGGGACTGTGCTGTTCTGTGCCTGGGCAGTGCCAAGCACAATGGGGCCCACTCCCTGGTTGGCCCTGAGGCCCTACTGTAACAAACACTAAACAACAAGCAGCGGTGAAGCTGATGTCCCATTAGACACTAGTAATGGTGGATAGAGGGGCAGCTTAAAGTTTTGATTTTATGTTTTAGCCCTCTCACCCAGCCTGTGCCTGGTGTTCGTCTTAGATGATAAGTAAAGCTACGATTTTGTCAGGGATATTTTTATAAAAGTCCCTGACTTTTACTAAAAACATCAGTGACAAAATGGGGAGGGAGGAGGGTCCAGCACCCTGTCCCCTCCCCCCCACCTGCAGCAGCTGGGAGCTGCAGGGTCCCCATTGCCCAGCGGGGCTGGAGCTGGGGCAGTCCCCCCGCCACCTCAGCCGGAGGTTGGGTAGCTGTAGGGAGCCCTTCCAGCAGCTGCTGATCAGCTCTGGGGTCCCTCTGCTGCTGTCGGAGGCAGCTGGGAGCTGCAGGCTGGGGCGGTGGCTGCTCACAGAGGCTGAGCAGTTGCTG